CCTCACAGTCCAGGAACCCTGTGAGGAGCAGCAGACCTAAGCCATCAAACATCCTTAGCAGACATTTTTAGTGCAGCTGGGGAGGCAGGCAGGAGGTTCCTGCCACCACCACTACACTCACCAGCCCGGCTTCCCACAGGGGGAGCGCACTGACCACCAGGGGGCAGCTTGCATTGAGCATCTGCTCCCTGGTGGTCAGTGCATGTCATAGCCAAAACCAGCTCTGACATCCCCTGAGGGGTCCCAGATTGCAAGAGGGCACAGGCCAGGCCACGGTCCCCACCAGTGCACCATCGGGGCCAGGGAGGGACCACGGGAGGGCTCTAGGGCATGTCCAACCCGTCTCAGTCCAGATCAGCTGGAGCCCAACAGCAAGGTAACCTACTGGTTGGAGCTTCTGCCCCCTGGTGGTGAGTGCATGTCATAGCGAGCAGTTATTGGCCTTAGCATATTATGCTATGTTTTCTTTGATTGAATAGTCAACTGGATGCCTAAGCACTTAGCACATTAGACTTATTATATAGGATGTTTCTCTCTCTCCCCTTCTCCCTTCTCTGAAAACAATAAAAAACATTTTTAAAAAATTCAGATTTTTAGTTAACATTAAAGTTCATTTTCCCTTAGATTGGGTTTACCTCAATCCAATCAACCCCACCTGGCACCCAAAACACTGTTGTGGTTTATAGTATTTCTGCTCACTATAACCAAATTTATTTTACACAATCCAAGTGCCTACCGCACTCTCAATACTGCACTTACCACTGCATGTGGAGGGAGACTGATTTCATTTGGTGGTGGTGGTGGTGGTGGTGTCTCACTGCTGGACACAGAGCCATTTTCCTTGTCTTTGCCCTTCCTATTTTTCTTTTCTTTTTCTTTCTTTCCTGTACCACTGTCACTATTCTCTACCAGGAAACAAAAAAGTAAAGTTTAGTACCACGGCTTATTCTACACCTTATCACCCCGATCATAAACATTTAAAATCCTGCTTTTTGTTCCTGAACCCTCCTCGGAGAAAACCAAACACACTGCTACTTAAAATCTGAAGAGGATTCACAGACCTAATTCATTCACTGTATTCAGGTTAAGAATGGAATGTTCCAAAATATTAATGGTTCTGTTAAGATTAAGATGAAGTGATGACTCAGAAGGCCCAGCATTCATGACCCTCTTCCATCACTCATGAAGTTGAACAGGGGCATAGCTGCACTGCACATTAGCTCCCTGCCAGAGCGCTGTCTGAGTCTATATAACGGCTTGTCTCATAGAGGAGAGCACCGGAATAGGTTAGACTTTGTTGCTGTAGCAAGCTCAAATTGTGTCAGACAGTGTTGATCATCTGCCACAGAGTGTTGCTTGCAATGCTCTAAAGCCACTTAAGCTTAATGAGCTAATAAGCCCTCCATTCTCCTTATATGTGTTTTACAACAACGAGAAAACTTCCATTTTCTTTCAAAGAATCAGTAGCTTCACAGTAACATCTTAAGAGTTCATCAGGAAGACTTACCAGGTGGGTTTTTGAGAATGAATGTGCAGAGTTTATGATGTGTGTCAAGCATGCCTCGATAGCCACAGGCTTTACAAGAATTACCTATTGTTTGCTTCTTTGGATTGACATGCTGCCAAAAAAGTAAAAACAAGCATGTCATCCATAATATATGATGAAAATTCTGAGAAAAAAGTGTGAAAAGATCTAACCAACAGAAAACATCTAAAACACCAGCTTAACATTCAAAACAATTATTTTCCACAAACTGATCTACTTCAAAAGTCACTGAGTAATACTGTCAACAAATAAAATAACAAAAATCAGTATGTGAGTATCTCCAAAATTTACAGGTTTTGTGTTAGTCTTCCAATTATGTCTGCTTTGCCTTGTCAAAACATTAGTGCTATCATAGGACTGATCACAAAAGCAGGTATTTAGTTTCTTCTTTTATTGACAAAAATATCAAAGACACTCACCAGCTCTGTTTCAGGATTCTCACACTCAGGACAAAGAACAAATTTTTTAATGAATCCATCCAACATGTCTTGCAGCTTATTCGCCTCATGAGATCCATTGACAATGTAACGGTCATTCTTAACATCAAACTGGGTCTGTGCTCCCAGCTCACAACCAAAATATTTGGTGGGATCTGTTTGGGGGGAAAAGAAAGTTTGATCACAATTAACTAACCTACTCAGCTAGATGCATAAAATTATCACTCCCTATGTTTTTAAATTATTGGGTTAAAAAACGTGTTGCCTACATTTTTTGTACTAACGACATTAAATTAGTTGGCTTTAAATCCAAGGTTCTACTTAACCTTTACATTAATTAGTACACAATCCAGGCAAGATCTGCAGATCCAAGTTGGTCATTACTGTCTATGCCTTTCAGACTTCTCCAAGAGGCATTACTTACACGTTGGAGGCCGATTAAGCGCCTTTGCAACGTCAACCATGTTGACTATAACTGTCTTGATTCCATTTCCTTTGCCCTCAACCTAAAGGAAATAAGAATTTAATTTTGCACTGTCTACCCAAGAGACACAACTTTAAAGAATCTACGAAAAGAGCTTAGGACTTGTTACTAAAACGAAGGAAAGTTACCACCTTGGCAATCAGACGGGGCATCTTGTAGCGATAGAACTGGTCTGACACACTGCGGTTGACGTTGACAGACATTTTGGCTTATTAGTGGCTTTATCAATAAGATGAAGAGATCTTTGATTGCAACTTTTTGGTATCTTCTGTCTGGAGAAGAAGGGATGACATAAACGACTGCAAGACTTCTCGGTCTCTGACATGAAAAAGTTTTCGCCACTGAGGCTGTAAGCTCCTTGCTTGTATGCTATATTCCCCCAATACAGGTACCAATGGCTGCGCAACAGCTCTGGAAGAGAAAGGGGAGAGAACACACAAGCCCCCACATTTAACAGGACTCCTGTATGCAACACGCACTGTATGTCCTAGTTAATTACACCCAAATTTCCAGGGTTAAAAAGCACCCAAGTTCACGCGAAAACAAGCGTTCTCTGACACAGGACACCTGTAGCAACATGAAAGGTCGCCACCTGATTAAGACGCGACCAGGAGGAAATGCCAGACTGAAACAGCGAACTGCCTCTGGCTGCCGCGGACTCCCGGGACGGACCCCACTCGGCATTTCAACAGTCGGCTTCCCTGCAGCGAGCGGCCTGCTTTCCAAACTAATGAAACCTCCCCCACCCCGAACCGGGCCGGTACCGGCACCGAGTCTGGCACATCGCCCTCCCCACGAGCTACCGGGTGAAGACGGCAGACTGTTCTCTACACCGTCCCTGCGACAACAATGCCGACTTCGTAGAGACACTCCCACAACAGCCCGCACACGAGCTCCCAGCGCGAGCGGCCTGCGGAGGACGCGCCCGGCCCCGCTCACGCAA